CAAACCACCAAACAGACAACGGCACAATGTTATCTATTTGTTAAATAGAATATATAAATAAATATACCATAGCGAATTTCCGAGAGGAAACTGGCTTCCGAGATTGACAAGAAGATAAAACAGAACAGAACAGAATACAATACATTACAGTAGAAAGAAAGAATAACAAAACTTTGGTTAATAGGAATGCAACTATACCTGAAAAATACAAGGAGCACTTTAAAGCATGCACTTCGCCGGCGAAAGCACTTCGCCGGCGAAGGCCCTTCGTCATGCAATATTTACAGAATAGAATTGAAACGACGCGGTTCAATATTGAAAACTAATATGTCTTACGCCTTACGGTCGAATATATCAGCAATATCATTTACGCCCAGTTTTTCGTTGTTCGATATAGTTTTATATATTAAAAGTGGAACGTTATTGACTATTATAAACAATTGAAAAAACTTACTTGTCCTATATCTATATTAAGGCTAAGAAGAACTTGCCTTGCATGCATACCTTTGAATAGAATGTTACCTTTGCATGAATTGAGTAGACTTTGAGAGAACTTACCTTTGAATTTCACTAGAGAAAACAGCTTGCAACCTTCACCGTGGACGTGGTTAAAATGACAGATCAGTGAGATCACTGAGATCAGAATATTTCAGCTATATTGAAACAGGGGCGTAACTTATGACTTTGGCGGGCAGAGTTTGCCGGGCAAAAGGGCATGGTCAAAAATGCCACGCCCACACTAAGTATATATTTTATATATTACTCATAAATGAAAGCACTATTTGCAATGAGATAAAACAGAAATATTGTCCCAGATAAACAATATTATATACACATTACAAATTTACAATAATTCAAACATAACAATAAATTTGGTTTATGATAGTTCATATAAAACCCTAAAATGCTGAATAATAAGATTTAATTAATCTATATGGCTATTTACAGGTGTACCCACTATAGTTGCCAACTTTAGCAAAAGCATCCGGGGGGGGGGGGGGGGGTCACGAGGCGTGGCGCAAAATTTTTGAAATTATGATTAGTCTCTAGATCGTTGGAAATGGCATTTTCAGAGTCTTCTATACCTTATACACACAAGTTCTGGTAGCTTTTATTTAGATTAAACAAAACCATATTGTTGAATACCCATGAGGTTGCATGTATGCTACATGTTTTCCAGGGGGATCCATATAGACTCTCTGAAATGCCATTTCCTAGACTGTGGGGAGAGATTTTACAGAATTCTGATGGTCAGAAAACGACATTGTAACATCAAAGGCCCTGGCCAATGTTTTTGCTCTATCGCCTAAGCCTGGGGGCCCCCATTTGGCCCATTGGGGTTGGGGGCCCCCGGGTTTGCCCGGTTCGAGTCCATAGTAGTTACGCCACTGCGGTGGATCCGTGAGAGTTGGCAACTATATCTACCTACCTATTTTGGTTCCTCGCACGTCCAGAAAGAACTGACTAAAGTGGAGTCGTGTCCGTGTGGGCCTAACATAAATACGTACTGCAACAGTCAGTTGAAGATCAATAGATCATAATATTTGAAAGCGTTCATCGTGGTAACTTACAGTTACTTATATATTATTACTTATATTATAATTATTTATACTTATATATATTATAATTACTTATATATTATTTGTGGTATCTCGTGATATCAACCAATTTCTTATTGGTTAATCCCCGTGCACCCCCTCCCCCCCCCCCACACACACTTAATATTAGCAACTTTAACCAATGTGTTATTTTATTATTTTATTCCATATTTTAACACAATTGTTTCGTCCAAGCGAGTCCACACGCATGCGATTTTGCATGAATATACTTGTCGAACTGTATTATTTCGCCATGTATATCTTTACTGGTACAAATGAATTTCGCTAAGCGCTATCGCACAGCAGATGTTGGATCAGATTGAAAAATCAACAAGAAATGGCGGTTGTACATGTGTTACGGCAATATGTGAAGAGCCCACAGTAATTGGTACCATACTATTGTGGTCACCCTGCCATGAATGCATGATAATGGCGAAGTTAAATAAATTAAATTAAATTAGGTTATTTCGCTGGCCTCAGAGTGACAAAACGTAACAAAGCAACGGTCTTACTAATCCATACTAACCCTATTGCAAACACCAACCAGGGCCATACACAGCGAACTGCCCCCTAGAGAAAACTATATTTACGATTTTTAGAATGTCATATTAATTATTCTTTGGATATTTGGGACTTTTTCGGCATATAGGCCTACTGCCCCCTGGTGAAAAAATCCTGCGTACGGCCCTGACACTAATCCTGTCCCTAACCTAACCGAAAAAAGTTTTGACGAAATGTCATTCTGAGGTCAGCGAAATAACTTCTTCCATGTGGCACTGGGATATATAGCAACGCTGAAATACACAAAAATTTTGTTTATATAGTTTGGAAAACACAAAAGAAAACAATGCATTATATTCATAACCGACTGAAAGTGAAATTTTGTACTGTATTTTCCGGAGGTTGCTGTATTTCAGGATTTTTTGTTTGATGAAACACTCTAACCTTATGATTGCTCCCATCTTCATCCGAAGTGAAACCCGAGTGCAATTTTTGGAAAAAAACGTCGCGTGTGATTTGATTGCATTGAAACAACGTCGCGTGTAGTTTATATTGCATAATTTGCATTGAAAAAAACGTCGCGTGTTATTCTGAAGAAAAAAACGGCGAGTGTAATTTTGAAGGAAAAAAACGACGAGTGTAATGGTAAAAAAAACGGCGAGTGTTTACAGTCATGGCCCTTCTCGGCCATCGTACTATACAGTATAAATGAACTTAGTTAACTTAGTGAACCGACTCTAGGGAGGACAGTTTAAAACTGATTAATTACTGGGCCAATATGAGAGAACTGTTATACTGGACTATAGGTTGGAAAATGTAAAACTGATATAGAGCAACCGAGTATACACAAAACTGCTCCACTTTAGTTCAAAAATAGTTTATTCAGTACATTTGACTACATATGCATGTCCCTTAAGGAACAAATTGATTTTATCTTTTATCAATTTATTACATAGTCATGCTACTAAACCCAAACTAATAACGCTACATGTTTTAAACACCTTGTTTTAAACACACAGTTTTACCACATAATCTCATTACGTTCAGGCAAATTACAACAATTGAATTAATTAAATTTAAGTAAAACTACACAATCAGAAAGCAAAGTACATCAAGTCAAGCAAAAATAAAACCAACAATCACCATCAAGGAAAGAGTAAACTTGGTCACCATGACACCAGTTGCACTGTTGCAGTTATCAGTATTACAACATTCAAAAGCACACGATGTCAGTCCCAATCTTGTGGTTAACATGTTACACGTTTCTTCGGTATCAGGGCAGCCACAGCTTTTGTCAACAACGTCTGTGCCATTTTGGTAGCTACCAGATCCTGTGTAACAATCTGAAATACCAGTTGTACAGTTGACTGTGGTAGTACATTTTTGTTGTTCTTTTGGCTGTGTTGTCCAGTAGGTACAAACATTGCATGTCAGAGCATTCCCTAAAACAAAAAAAAAACAATGCAGTAGATCATTAGTTGCAAATTGTCTTGTCATACCCCCAGCACTCCTGCAGTGCAACTGGTATCATGTCTTGTCTCTTTCAGTTTAAACTGTTTTATATCTAGAGACCGGGCAGCGGTCATCCCACTGATCTAAAGACTGGAACTGGATAGAGTACCTTTTGTACTCCATCAGCCAATTTTGAAATCAAAATATTTATGATGAGATGAGATTTTAATGTCTGTCAAAATCTGTGGAAATCGGATGGCGACGTGTTTAAATTAGCTAGCAATATCAAGCAATTACATTATCCTATGTAACTTGAAATATATAGCCTCCCACATCTTTTCAGATAACTGCATATTGCTAGCAAGGAACATTTTCAAGCATCAGTAAAAAATTCATTAATAATTCACGAGGAAAATACAATCAATGTTTGTAAATCGGATAAAGATTTGTCCAGATTTACATAAACTTCAGCTTTGATTTTCTCGGCTTAGACAATGTTTATTTTTAAAATTACTTCGCCAATGAACTCATAAGATGGGTCATTTTTTAAGTACGATAAAACATTCGCATCCGATCTGTATCTGATATACAAACTCTCGCCTTCGGCTCGAGTTTGCATGGATATCAGATACAGATCGGCTGCTCATGTTTTATCTAGTGCTTGTGATTTAATCACTGAAAATTTGTAAATTTTCTTACCCAAAGCTGAGATAGCCAACACAACTCCCAAAGCGAGTAAAATTTTGCTGAACATACTGTGATCTTTTCCACAACTAAATCAAAAACAAAAATAAATTGAATATGTACTCGGGAGGTGAATAGTGCCTTTCACGCAATTTGATTGGTTGCTGCGGATATCCTTGCAGTTATAGAATAAAGATCCATATAGAGTCATATAGAAGGGCCTCGCGCATGTCGCATTACGCATTTTGGCCGCCATTTTCCTAGCCAGTCAATGACATTTTCTGGCCAATAAACACGCTGTACTGGCTGGCTGCTCCGCTCTGTTTCCACGTCTCTTTGTTCAGATATTTCATTTTCTTGAATAAAGCTGCAATAGCAAGCGGCAATCTATATATGATCATTTATGTTTTATGTGACGGTTTTATAAGCTATTTCCCGGGCAAATAAACAGTAAATTATTATACAGGGTTCGTGGCGGTCTTTGAAATCCCTGAAACTGAAAGTCTTCAAATTTGAATTGTGTGCATGGAAAAGCAAAGAAAGTCTTTAAAAGTCTTTAAATTCTTTAGTAAGTATCTGATTATACGATTTCCTACCTGATAAAATAGATTGATTGAAGCAAGATTTTCGCAAGTACCGACGAATTAAGGATGTGATTTGAAAGGACTAATTACCGGATAAAAATGGTGCTTAAACTCGCAATTTTTCGACAGCTGATTGCTCTCAAAGGTCTTTGAAAAGTCTTTGAAAATTAACCGAAAATTTTTTTGAAAATATTTGAATTTTTTTGGTTTTGGAGACTACGAACCCTTGCTATAGATGCGGAATAAGTTCAAATGTAACTGCTATATAGCTAGAATAAGTGTACCTCACGCCGGCCATTTCAGTGTTTTAGTATATTATATAAACACAAGGATATATTTATATATACTGCAAGGATATATTTATAATACTGTTATATAATCTTGAGTTATATAGTTATATAATGTAGTAGGTAGTAAGGATGCAATTACCTGAAAAATACAAAGAGAACGCTCGACGTTTCGAGTGAAAGCCTTCGGACTAACTTCCGGACGAAGTGCCTTCGCCTGAAACGTCGAAGTTCTCCTTGTATTTTTCAAGTAGTTGCATCCGTATCAATCCGAAGCTTTCTTTGCCACAGACCATTCAACTTTTTTTTTTATTAACTTAACAATCGCACGATTGATGGAAAAGACAACAGAACTATTTGTTCCTTATTAAGTCCCATGCACAAAAAAAGTTACACTAAACATATAACAATACATAAAATTACAATCACAATGTAACATGAACTATGACTATACAGTATACATTCCTACATATTTATGACAGTTTGTTTGCAACGAACGACACTTGCTACACAGAGTTTTCCACGTTCTAGGTCTGTCTATATAGCCTAATATCGAAGACAGTGTTCAGTTTATTGGTATAATATAATATATATATTATACATATATTTATTATATAGTAGAGAGTGAGATACTGAGAAATACACAGTGACATATTTTCCATATCTTCACTAGTGAAGATATCGGTCACGTGACTTTTAGTATTTATACAATTTTATAAACAGAACATTAAAACAGAATTAATAATAAACAGAACATTACACGGTGGCTTGAAGATATGACTTTTATCTTCTCGTGTTAAAAACAATATTTTACTCACTCGCTGCGCTCGTTCGTAAAAATGTAAAATATTGTTTGCACCACTCGAAGATAAAAGTCATATCTTCGCGCCGCCGTGTAATATCCTCTATATATAGTTTTAAACCGTTTTGCAAGGAATTTTTGGAAACGAAAACAGGGCTCAGCCTAACTCAGATTCTCAGAAATTAGATTGGATTTTTAAGTATTGGTTAGGCATGCATATGTGTCTGTTCATGTATCATGAAGTTCAGGGACGCCGGAGCCACGGGGGCAGCGGGGACAACTGCCCCCGTTGCCCAAACAGTGCGGGGGCAGCACGGGGGCAACATGTTGCCCTTTTTACCGAAACTGCACTTCGAAATTCATCCTTTAATTCACAGGAATAGGAATTTATAACAATTTTTAAACAATGTTTGAGCAATCTTTGTTTCATTTTTAACCAGTTCACGGTAGTAAAATTAATGCTAAATCAGGCAATATACGTCCGTTTACTGATTTTATTTTGCGCCCTTAGCACGGTGCAACGAATAAAATTGTTCAAAATTAATGTCGAAGTTTTCCGACCCATAATAGCCACAAGTAATCGAGTATCCATACAGTAAAGTTTTAACAAATATTGCCGCCCAGAAAAATGACGGCTGAGAAGCAAGTGCCCTTTTGAAATGGCTGCCCCCGCCGCTTCACATTGCTTCCGGCGCCCCTGATGAAGTTGTGCCGAAATAGGATGCCTTAGTAACCATAAAACATTCTTTGTTCAGCCATTTCTAGCCCATTCTGAATGTCCAAAAACGGTGATCGCTAGATAGTATACTTCAAAATAAGGTTTCCGTTTTTATAACGTAGAAAAACTATCCTAACTCAAAACTAAACCCTAACCCTAATATACTATCCCTCACCATAACCTTAACCTAACCTAAACCCTAACCTAACCCTAACTTATTTTAAAAATTGATATAAAAACGGAAACCTTATTTTGAAGTATACTATCTAGCAATTGCCGTCCAAAAACATGCATGTCAACATGCCAGGAAATTAACACGAACTGCACGGGAACACAACTGTAGTAAAATACGGCCCGTGTAGCAAGCAACTATACGTCTCAATTGTTACTGAATAGTGATTAGTTGTAGTATGTAAATCAAGCACACAATTCACGTACGTTGTCGTAGGTGAGTTGCGTGCTTGATTTACAGACTACAACTCAAGTTGTAAACAGGTTGCATGCGACTGTTTTAGACCAAACTTGTGTATAGTGTAACTCCGCCTTTAAGTTCGTCTATAATTGTACGAACGTGTAAACGTTCGCTCTTATTATAAAAACCCCCACACAATTCTTTCCCTTAACAACCTGATACGAAAACACTCTTAACCTATAGCCCAGGGGCGGCGGAACAGGGGGGGCTAGGGGGGCTAAAGCCCCCCAGAAGTAAAAGCGGGGGGGCTTAGCCCCCCCAGAAAATTTGAATTTTTCGAAAAAATTTTGAAAATTAGGGAAAAATTTAGGTTATTTTTTGAAAATTTAGGTATAAGGGGCCAAATTTGCAATATTTTGTTTAAAAAAACCGTATCAGTTCCGAAACAATTTTTTGATATAAGTCCGGAAAAAATTTTTTCGTCCCTTTTTTTGTATATTATACCCCTAAAGTGGTACACTGACCGAAATTTTTTTGGCGACGGGGGGGGGCGCCGAAAAAATTTGTTCCGCCGCCCCTGCTATAGCCCAACGAAGAACTATACTTTGAACAGAATATACTGTAACCTTTGAATTCACCAGACAAGCAGCTTTATACCAAACGACGGACAGCACAGAATAGGGATCTAAAACATATTTCAGCAGGGTGTATTTCAGACTTAGTTTCCTGTATGATCTCTTATTGGTTAATACTCGAGCACCAGTGCCAGTGGCGGACGCTCCGTAAAATATTAGGGGAGAGGGGTTGCTACATATGACCATCTTTTGTAGCTAGAAATATGCTTTCATGGTTGCAAAATTATAGGTATACAGCTTTGTTATACAATTATTCATCTATCATTCAAAGGAAATTATTGGGGGGTGGGGGGGGAGAATATGAGCCTTGGTATTCATTCAAAAATAGTATGTCTACGCTACACTTGTTTCGCGCATACTCCATTTTGTTAATTTTATACCAATTTTGCAAAGCCAAAGGCCTGTCAACATTACAATGGATTTTTTGACATATGTTTATTGTTTTCTTGCAGTTATCTGGTTTCCCTCTACACATCGTTTACAGACATCAATCCAGTTATAGATACAGTTCAAAGTACTGGAGTTCATCTTACTGAAGACCTAAATGTTGAGTTCGCTTTGGCCACAGAGTAGAGACATACAGAGACGTAACTAGTGTACCCACTTTTTTTGTGCGCATGCTCGGCAAGTTACTAGATGCATGCATCTGATTGGATGACGACCTGATGACGACTCACTTTAAACTTGCTGAGCACGCGCAGTTGATCATTTTTCGCCCGGTCGCCTGAAAAAAAGTGGGTACATGATAACGTAATCTTCCGCAGTGTTTACAACGGTCAGTTACGTCTCTGTATGTCTTATCTACTCTGTGCTTTGGCCGTTCATGTTCATCCATATGACCATATTCAGATAACATGTTGTCGCTGTCAGGGTTTATATGTTGGAGCATTGATCAGGAAAATATGGTATTGTTGATGAGTAAGGTCAGTGTATTTCATGTTGAACCGAAGTGTTATCTATGGGGTTTCAGGGGTTGCTCTCATACTTATATGAATATTCAGACTTTTTGTCAGATTGGCTGTGCCTATGACACGAAATTTCACCCCAAATGTTTATAGTTGCAGTGTAAAGATCACTTAAAATGACTTAATAATGTCTTTCATAGAATTTTGGTAACTTGCTCCATTTTCAAGATATTCAACTTTGTTTCATATGCAAATATCACTGACCGGTGTGACATCACATCACATCACATCACATAATAAGTTTTCAGAAAAGTATACAGTTTTCTTGACGAATACGTATCTAAAAAACTTAAAGATTGCCCTTGTATATGTATTAATTTCATAACTGGTAATTAACCCTCTGTATTTGTTTGTAAAAGATTTTATCAAGGTAAAATATTGTTTTCAAAATGTCATTATGCGATGTGATGTCACACCAGTTGCATATGAAACAATGTCAAAGTTGAATATCTTGCAAAGGAAGCAAGTTACCAAAATTCTACCGGGTGTCCCAAAAAAAAGTACTCCCGTTTGATTTATAATAACTTCTAAACAAGTAAAGCTATCAAATAGAAATGACTTGCGTTAAATAGAGGAAGGACTAACTTAGATTTTGATATATTACAGTTGTATTTTACTTAAAAATTCACGGAGATATTAATGTTCAAAATCGGTGGCTTATTTTGGGATGTGTCTAAAATTAGCGAAAATCGGCATATCAAATATTAACTCCAGCGTTTAACTGCTTAATGACATATCAGGCTAACTTGTATTTCAGCGAATTCTCGTTAGGGTTTGTAAGGGATATGGCGTAGATTTATATATACATCTTACATAACACTTACTTGTAAGTCTTAGCTCATTGTTTCCTGAAATATGAACGTTCGAAATTATGCAAGTATTTAATAGGTTTTTACAAACTTAAAAGTAGATGAAAGACCATGCAAGGCAGGCGCTAAAATAGCTTTTCTTAAATAGCCTAATTTTTTTATGTTTTTCATGGGTTCAAAACAGTTGATTATTTCTTGGTTATAGCAAGATGAATATTATTCTTTAATGAAGGAAATAATATTGCTTTTTGCAAATACACATCACAGTATCAACGCTACTATTTTGTTACGTTTTGTTCCAAAAATGTTGGATGTCTCTAGGGAGTTGCTTGTTATGTCTTATGGAGTTGTATGGTTTGATTGTGTTTCATTCTCTGTTTATTCTGAACTTGCCAAGATTAAGAAAAGGCAAAAGAGTTTGGGTGTTCTTAACAAGATTTCAGAACGTTGCAGAAGTTAGAAGAGCTTCACAATTCCATTGTGACAGCATGCCCTAATTCTGAACTACGAACGATTCATGACGATCCTTCGCAATGCAGTGGTCTCATGAAATAAGGAAACGTATTCGTGCTAGGAACGAACGCGGATTTCGGACGAATAAATCTTGCTTGTATTTTGTAGATATAATAATACTTTGTTTCATAATAAACAATTTCTCAAGTGTCATTTATTTACTGGTAATAGTGCATGTTTCAGTCGGGCAAATCTTGATTAATATTTGATACGCCGTTTTTTGCATATTTCAGACACATCCAAAAATATGCTCCCGATTTTAAACATTAATATCTCCGTGAATTTTTAAGTGAAATACAACTGTAATATATCAAAATCTAAGTTAGTCCTTCCCCTATTTGATGCAAGTTATTTCCCTTTGAAAGCTTTACCTGTTTAGAAGTTATTGCGAATCAAACCGGAGTACTTTTTTTTGGGACACCCGGTATAAAAGAAATTATTAAGTCATTTTATGTGGGTGAAATTTCGTGTCATAGGCACTTTAATAAAAGACAACTACAGAAACCCAGTGAGCTCTCTATATATCTGGAGCATATATGCACTTCAGTCATTTGGCCTATGAAGTCATTAATATGGCGCCGGAAAATGGACCTATTCCCTAATGAACAAAATTTTGATCTACACAAGTCTAGACAAAAATTTTATCACGGCTTGAAAGAGCATCACAAAATTAATAATATTCCGAAGTTTCGTTGCGAAATGTTGTAAAATGCGGATAATATAGCCCTGCGAAGTTTGCCGTTTTTCAGTCATTTTGTATTACGCACGGGAAATTGATACCTTTTTTCAGAAAGCGATATCAATTTCCCATGCGTAATACAAAATGACTGAACTGAAAGGCAAACTTCGCAGTGCTATATTATCCGCATTTTACAACATTTCGCAACGAATCTTCGGAATATTACTAATTTTGCGATGCTCTTTCAAGCTGTGGTGAAATGTTTGTCTAGTCTAGATCAAAATTTTGTTCATTAGGTAATAGGTCCATTGACGTCCAATAGCTCTGAAGGTCGTAAACAGTTTTAGTATCATTTCCTCCAGCTAATTTCAGTTTGTTTCTAACGAACCGTATCACTATAATCAAGTTATCAGTTCATAAAACTATAATATTATTCTTTAAATCCGATGTTAAATCTTTGCCAGCTTCGAGTTAACCGTGCAGACAACTGTAGGGACTGGAACTGACGTCCCATAGCTCTTCAATTTCCGCCATCTCGGCTTCACTTTTTAGACTCGAGTTCTCGCTGGAGATATATATATTGAATTGAATTGAATTTATTACAAAATCTGAATGGCAGCTAAGAGCTGAATTGTACAGAGTTGACATTTAAAATACATGGTAAAACTAATACATATAGTAATATACGGTATATTAAAACTAAAATTTATATTACAATTAAAATGAATCATTATATGATACGATACTAGAAGGAATAAAACTTTTACTAAATCTTGTAGTCTTACAATTAATTAGGTTAATATGCTGATCATTACGTAGATTGTAAGTACGTAAGTCCTCGCGTTTATTAGGGATAAGTTCATTCAATTTATTTTCCGGGTTGAGAAGTTTCTTAAAATAAGATTTACATAATTATTTCGTCTTTGAGAGAGCAACGATATTTCATGAACTTCCAAGGCTTTGCGGTATGACAAGTCAGGACATATTATTCATAGGGCTCGCTTCTGAATTCTTTCGATTTCTTCCTTTAAATAGTCAGGGGAGTTTAAGTTCCAAACCTGGCATGCATATTCAAGCACAGGTCGTATACATGTGGTATAGACTTGAATTAGAGAACTCCCTCCAAGACCGCTGCGTTTAAGCACTCGGAGAAAAAAAAGTCTCTTTGATGCCTTGTATACTATGTGTTCAACATGTAAGTTCCAACTAAGATCAGAAGAAAAGTACAGACGAAGAACCTTTGCTGATAAAACTGGGGACATACAGTGATCTTTAATAAACAATGGTCGAAGATTAGGGACGTCCTTAGCGAACGAGATAATTAGCTCTTTGCATTTAGAACGATTAAGCATCATATCATTTTCCGTGCACCATTGATCGATATTATTAATAACGGATTGCAGGTTACTTTGACAACCTTTACCGATTGTTTCGGAGAGACTAGTGTCATCAACATATTTCCATCTATATGTGTGGTTAATAGCCAAATCGTTGACCATGATGAGGAAAAGTAATGGGCCAAGGATTGTACCTTGCGGGACGCCTCCATTTACCAAGGACCAATCAGAGAACGAAGAACCCAATTTCACCCTCTGTCTTCTTTGCATCAGAAAATCAATGACCCAGTTTATTAAGGATTTATCAATATTTAGTAATTGCATCTTTTTATCAGGATTTTGTGGTTGATTCTGTCGAATGCTTTACTAAAGTCAAGCAGAAAAACACGAACAGTCTCGCCATTGCCGTCTGTGTTAGAATACCAACAGTGGAACATGCTAATTAATGCGTCTATCGTAGAAGAGCCTTTTAACGATCCGAATTGTTTTGGGTCCAACTGAGACTTAATGGTATCCATAATCCATTGAAATGGAAATGATTCAAGAACCTTTGAGAGCGTGGCGGTCAGAGATATAGGTCGCAGGTCTGAAGATATATCCGTGACCGAGGATGTCTTAGGGACGGGAACGACATTTGCTTCTTTCCACTGCATTGGAACTTGTGTTTGTTTAATGGAGGCATTAAAAATCATTGTCACAGGTTCTGAAATCTCCATTGAAAAGTTATTGAGAATCCAATTTGGCAGAGAGTCTGGACCAGGAGCTTTATTCGATTTAACTGCTTTTAAACGCGATTCGACATCAACAACGGAGATAGGGGTACAAAACGGTAGGTTCTTCCACAGATAATTTATCAGTAATTGAAAGCGGCGGTAACGATTTAGTGGCGGCTAAAAACCCGTTATTAACACCGAGTGCTAAGTCTCGTCCCTGCAAGATAGTTCCATTCACCTCTGCAGAATGGAAGGCAGGCTTTAAAGAAAAGCCAGCTAGGTTTTTAATAGCATTCCACCATTTCCTTGGCTTTGAATTTTTTAGATGATTCACTTGAGACTCGAAGTATTTAGACTTTGCCTGTTTCACGACGTGAATTACTTTATTTCGCAATTTGTTGTATTTAATTGTATTTCCCAAGGCAAAGGCCTTTTGTCGTTGGGAGATGAGGAGTTTGATTTCAGGGGTAATCCACGCTTTGTCTCTACAGTGAAGTTTAACAGATTTTTGGGGGAAAATTGTATCCAAACCCATGAGAATAATGTCATAAAACAGGTCACACATTTTTTGACAATCGGGTAGCTGCGAAAGTACATTCCAGTTAAGATCTAATATGGAGCTCAGTGTTGAAATCATCTTCCTAAAGGCACGTTACACGCTGCGATTTGTCGAATACGATTCGTATTCTGGCGTTTGTAATCGAACAAGCGCGACGTAAAATGGTTGCGTTTCAAATTTCGCCATAAACTAAACGAAGAGGGATTGTGTCGTCATCAGTAATTTTCATACGCCAGGGTCTCAATCATATACGACAAATCGCAGCGTGTAAACGTACCTTAAAGAACGATTCATTAACATAATCACTTCTGTTACCCATTGCAAAACGTGTTCGTATTCAACTGTTTCAGTAAATGTTATTAGGGAGTTTACGAATGTGAGACGGCAACGTCAGGACGACTGCTATCAATACAATGACATCAGGGACGAAACTTGAGGGTGGGGTGTGGGGGTGGGGGTGTGACACCCCCCAAAGTACAAATCATCTGGATTGGCAGGGCAAATCATCTGGATTGGCAGGGCAATGAAAGATTTTAAATGATAGAATGTAGAGTTGTTAACTAGATTCCAGGGCTTCCAGAGGGAATTGAATAGAAGTTATAGACCTAAATTTTACAGATATTGGTAAAAAAAATAAGGGTTTCATGCATGTTTTAACAGGAATTTGTCCGAAAAAATTTTTTTGACCCTTAATTTAATTGGTTTATGTCCGGAAAAATTTTTTTTTTTGATGCATGATCGGCTTTCGCAGGGCAATTCTAGCAGACACCCCCTAATTAAAAGTGGCTATAGTTTCGCCCCTGAATGACATTAATCCTATAGTGCAAAAGAAATGAATAATTAAAAGTCTAACAGGGGTTTTAGACGTCGTCCAAGCTCTGTTGACAACGGAAAAATGTATATTTTCACGAGTCTTGTATAGTACGCTAGCATTTCACGCCGTGACAGGTAGTTTTTCTAGAGTTGATCAGCATTGCTCGGAGGGTTAAAGCTCTGTTTTACTCGTTCGAAACCATTTTAAATTCATACAAAACTAACAAAAGTAAATAGAAAACAAGATTTTCATACAATTATTTATTTCAAACAGTTCACTTTAGCCGTCGTCCTGACCACAGGAGCCCAAGCGTTGATCTGTGTTTTAATTGAATTATAACACTACATTGTACTAATATGTCATATAATAATAATAATACTCCTATAGTCGAACATATGAATAACAACATATAAGTTGATTTGTCGTATTTGTATGTTTTTCAGTTTATTTATTTAAGATCTATTATTAGCTTATATAAAAGCACCGCCTTTCGAACCTGACAGCCCGTTCGCAGGATACACGCATTATTTCGCACTGAAATAAGAATTTATATGTTGCGCCCCCTATTTCAAAATCCCGCGCGTATCCTGCGAACGGGCCGTCAGGTTCGAAAGGCTGTGCTTTTATATAAGCTAATAATAGATCTTAAATAAATAAATAAAAAACATACAAATACAAAGCAACTTATATGCTGTTGTTATATGTTCGACTATAGGAGTATTATTGCTGCCGTATGGTAAATCATATGATTTAGACCAGGGGTTAAAGGGCAATGACAATGACATGCAGGTGACATTTAACATGTGCGAGTGTGCGTCTCACTATAAATCAAAGAAGGCAAAAATATATACAAGACAACCTCACATGTGGAATCTGTTCACTTACGCACTGCCTTGTGATGCAGTACAAGTACAAATACAAATGACAAGTGTAAGAGGCAATTTTTTTCAATGTCACGTATTTGCAATGAAAAGTGTTCAAAACCTAAAATCTTTTTGGCGTTCCTCTCAAAATTACTTTGTTTTAGCTTTATTGTCTACAGTTTATAGAGTTAGCTACCTTTTTAAATGCATCTGCCGGTTGAGAAACATAAAATAATAGTTAAAAATTGCCAATTAAAATACAATATCAATGATGCCTTAAAATTGACGCTATATTTACAGCCATTTAAGCAAAACGTACTTAACTTCAGACATCATTTTCTCTTTGGCGTATCATCTAAAATCTCTTCATTTTAGCATTATTTTACAGATAAAGCACTAAACATACTTTTTAAGGGTTTTTTTACCGATTGAGAAACGTATCGAAATATAAAAATTTTGATTTTAGTCATAATCTCATGTGGTATATTATACGCATTAGTTTTGAGCGCGTATCACGTAACATACAAAAAATCTCATTTAAAGATTTGGGCACATTGCTATACCAAGGCAGCGTTCACTACCCTGTGGGTAAACTAGTTATTATTATATGACATATTAGTGTAATGTAGTGAAATAATTCAATTAAAACACATATCAACGCTTGGGCTTCTAATCTTACATTCGTAAACTCCCTAATATTTGTACAGCAGACGACAGCGCTACCTCGTTCCCATGCAGGCTTTTTCTTTTCCGCAAGTCTTCTCAATATCAATATTGTTCCTCCTAGAGGTCCAGTGAGGACCAAACTGAATACACTCTTCTCGCATACGACTAAGGCGAAAACAGAACATTTTAAAGCATTGATTCTATCACTGAAAACTTATCAATTTTCTTACCCAAAGCTGAGATAGCCAACACAACTCCAAAAGCGAGTAAAATTTTGTTCAACATACTGTGATCTTCTCCAAAACTAAATCAAAGACAAAAACGAATTGAATAAAGTAATATATTGGCAGAAAGCTGTAGATTGATACACAATATCCAATTTGGAATCACAAATAAGAATAGTGAAATACATGTGGTCAAACAGTAATTCTGCCTTTTATTCTTTGGCCGAAATAATAATAATAATTCATTTCTCAAAGCTTCCGTCACAAGAAGGGATTTTCAGGAAGATCCTCAAACTAAAAATTCCAGAATAAATATCTACTAAACATATGTACAATATAAAAGCTAATTTAAAAGTTCCAGTGCAAAATATCCATAGGGCATGGGAAATTCTAGCAATTAAAAGTTTTAATCCCCGAGCCATCACTAATTCTGCACGGCTAATATTAAATATACTGACTATTTAGAAGTTTACTCTTAAAAATACTTTGAGGCATTAGTTTCTTTAGGGCATCAGGAAGTGATGTCCAATCATCAATTGCTCCATAAAAAGTTGTTCTCTTTCCCGATTTTGGAAGGCCTGCAATTGTTCTATCTCAAATTTCAAACCTGACTGGTCACCCCAAACCATATCGGCTTAGTCCAAATGTGGTAGAACCAGTCATTAAAATATGCAATACAGGTTTTCATGTCCAGCATAAGAGAAATTCTGTTAAAAACTATAGGTATATGGTATAGGTAACCAAAGCTATGATCTAGTATAGAGGAATGAAGAAAATCGTTGTGTTAAGAGTTATAAGAGTTCAGTTTTTTAATATAACAAATACATAACCGTTATCTGCGTAGTTATATACTGTAGATACACCATGGATAGTTCAAAAGTGTTTTTTTTGTGATCTATGCGTATACAGAGCATAGATATCTTATATACACTAGATAGTGCATCTAATTATAATTCTACAATTCAAAAATTGAAGCCGTGATTGCAGACTCAGGATATTCCCATGAAATGAGAAGATTCGTATGTTTTCTATTTCTTAGCAGGGAACTTAAATATTAAGGTAAACCTATTCCAAATACATTTTTAAACTATTCAAATGATGAAAGTTATTGTTGTTTTTTAAGCGTTTATTAGCGAATGGGAAACACCAACATGGCCGCCATCTATTCAAATGGGGGTAACCGCTGAAATATTCTTGGCTTCAATTTTATTAAAAGAGATGATGCGCTATCTAGTCTATATATAAGATATCTATGATACAGAGGACGGTCATAACGCGGTAAGAATAGCAGTAAGAACTACGGTACAAGAACTACGGTACCTTCATCATGCAATATTACAGAGTAGAATTGCAATAACGCGGTTCAATATTAAAACACCAATTCTCAAAACTAATTCACTCGGCTTAGTTTGGGAAAGTATGCATACATTCTTATGTCTTACGGTCGAATATAGCAACGATATCATTGGAATCACAGATGCTTTACGCCCAGTTTTTTATATCTAGATTAACAACTTAATCTAGCCCTATAATGCTAAGAAGAACTTGCCTTGCATTCCTTTGAATAGAACATTACCTTTGATTTGAGCAGACTTTGCATGAGAGAACATACCTTTGAATTTCACCAGAAAAACAGCTTGCATGCACCTTGACCGTGGACGTGGTTAAAATGGCAGATCAGAATATTTCAGCTCATGCATGTATTTACGATATTGGAATGTTTTGAATGGTCCTTGACTTTTAAGACCATAACATTCTAGCCTTGACTCATTTTGAAACAAAACTTTTTATTTGTTTAAACGAAAACACACTTAAAACTGCCTAGTAACTTCTTTTATAGATCATTATTTCTACGCAAAGTTGTTAGCAAGTTTTATTTTGCCAGTCCAGATCAATTCACATTAACTCTGAGTAGCAAGTCAAGTCAAGTCACAAGTCATATATTTTGTCTGTGACCATGCATGCAAGCCACTTACGTCACAAGTTATTCTGTACAGTTCATTTCACCGTGAACTAGGGAGTCACCCATGAAAGTTATTTAACAAATATATTGACACGAGTGGAAATTGGGAAAACAAGAAATTGTGTGGAAACACGACACCCACAGGGTGGAACGAGTGTTAGGGACAGCATTGTTAGAAAGAATACTGAGAAGAAGCTTGGAAAGCTAAACTCTTTGGGACCTGAGGCTACTGGTTGTAGCCAGCTTCCAAGGAAAACATATGGGCAGCATTAGAACAAAGCTGTGAAAAACATAATGATGATGATGATGATGGTGGTGATGATGATGACGACGACGACGACGATGATGATAGTTTTTTTAATAATACCAAAAAGGCCAATATTTATATCAGTTGCACTATTTTCAGCGTGGTAGGAGAACAATTTTAAACAAACCATCCTTACCAATATGGCAGAATTTCATGCAATTATTTTTATTTCTCTTCATTGGTATGGTTCAATCGTAGTTTCGTATTTTTGTGGCATACAAATGGTAAGTATTAGCCTTGCAAGGACGGGATAAATAAAGGGGTGGGTTTTACTGGACGTCTATAGGGAGAACGTTAAAGAGCTATCCAGTATAAAAATGAACTTATAGTTAAGTTTTATCTTTCTCCTGTAGTAATACTGTTCTCTTGGGAGAACAGTTTAAAACTGATTAACTTTAATACTAGGCCAATATGAGAAGACCGTTCAGTACTGGACTATAGGTTGGAAAATGTAAAACTGACAGAACAACCGAGTATACACAAAACTGCTCCACTTTAGTTCAAAATTAGTTTATTTATTACATTTGATTACACATGCCCCTTAAGGAACGAAGTGATTTTATCTTTTATCAATTTATTACATAGTCACCTACTAAATTATCCCAAACTGATAACGCTACATATTTTAAACAACTTGTTTTAAACACACAGTTTTACCATATAATCTCATTACGTTCATGCAAATTACAACAATTGAATTAAGTAAATTTAGTACACAGTGAAAACGCAAAGTACATCAAGTTAAGCAAAAATAAAACCAACAATCACCATCAAGGAAAGAGTAAACTTGGTCACCATGACACCAGTTGCACTGTTGCAATAATCGGTATTACAACATGCAAAGGTACACGATTTCAGATTCCATTTTAGTGTTGCAAAGTTACAGCGTCTTTCAACATCGAGGCAAGCATTCGCGTTGCCACAGCCTTTTACAACACCTTCTGTGCCATTTGGGAAGCTAGCAGTAAATGTGGCACAAAATTGAGGACAGGTGAGTGTGCCACATGTTTGTTGTTGTTTTGGCTGTGCTTTCGAGTATTCACAATAATCGCATTTCAGAGCACTCCCTAAAACAAACAAAAAAAAGACATGCAGTTGATCATTAGTTGGAAATTGTCTTGTACCCCCCGCAGCCAGATCGACTAAAAAGTTTTATTTTGCGCAGGAAATGTTTTTTCCTTGAAATAGCTACACTATCAACCAATTACATTATCCTATATGTAACTTGAAATATATAGCTTCCCACATCTTTTCAGATAACTGCATATTTCACGCAAGAAACATTATCAAGCATTGTGATTCAATCACCGAAAATTTATAAATTTTCTTACCCGAAGCTGAGATAGCCAACACAACTCCCAAAGCGATTAAAATTTTGCTGAACATACTGTGATCTTTTCCAAAACTAAATCAAAGACAAAAACAAATTGAATAAAGTAACTTAGCATATACTCGGGAGGTGAATAGTGCTTTTCACGCAGTTTGATTGGTTGCTCCGGATATCCTTGCAATTAATATTCACCTCCGGAAAAAAACCAAAATGGCTTCTCGTTTCGTTTCAGTTACAGACGAGGAAATTTTTGTACTAAACAAAGCTGCGGTTTCGCCAAACACGAAGAAAGCCGCAAAGTTTTGTTTAACAATGTGTTTTGCCGCTCGCAGGGAATAGTTCAAAATTTTGAACGATTTTTTACTCGCTGCGAGAGATCGCAATAATAAACCAATCATAAAACGGCTTACAGTCACATGATAATTTGTTTTCAAAATGGCGGCTAGATGGAGTGATGAAAATATAGAAATTGCGATAGTTTTTATTGGACTTCTAAATTAGTGGCTTTACCAAATTGTGTAAATAATCCGGCAAATTGGTTTGGTAACATCCTGAAATAATTGAAGTAGCCTTCGTGGTCTTCCTCCCATAATTCTTTAACTAGTGTAAAAATTTCACTTAATTGTGCTCTCGTTTGGAATATTGGTCTTACCCAAAACTGTACCAGTCTTTTTCGTTGACTTCGCAATAACAACGTGCAAAAGCAATAATTGCTTTTTGCTAAGCGCCATTTTGAACTTTGAACTCTTCCCACCACTACCTAGCCTACACCATGAGCTACGAGATTGGCGTGTGGTGGAAACGGAATGACATTCATGCGAGTACTCACAGCGAGCTGCGAGGAGCTTCGTGCGAGGACTGGAAATCCGCCTTTAAAGCTATTTCCAATGTCTTGATGAATAAAATTACTATAAAATTGAGGGTGTAAATACTGTTTTGTTTCTAAGTACATTGAATAAAAAATGTTGTCTTTATTCGGAGTTACCGTTGTTGTGTAATAGTGTTTTGTTTACAACTATTACAATGGCTGAACTACAAATTGTTTTAAAAATATGTTCGTTGTTTTTTGGTCATAGTTGTTTTGTTGTGGTATATGCTAAAACAATTAGGGAGCGGTCATTATTTATGGCGGGGGTGGCATCGAAGAGAAATGTTTTTCTTGGTAAAAATGTCGCTGATCCAACCATTAAAAAGTCAAAAACATTTTACTCAACCTCCAATATGAATTAAAAAAATAAATACTTTACAAAAGGATACCATTCACTATTCAGTTGTCACACATGTCCTTTACCACTTCCGTGACATGAGTTTGATAACTGCCTGTGCAATATTCTCCCTTATTAACCTCAGTGTCTGTAAATAGTGCAAGGATATTCAACTCACCGCTTCGCGTTTCGGTGAATATATTTGCACTATTCACCGACAATTGTTAAATATTGGTCGAAAGCTGCGGATTGATAAACAGTATTGATAAGCAATATCTAATTGGCAATCATGCACAGATAAGAATAATATACATGTTAGGACATGTAATGTATTATAAGCTTAAATCGTTCTGCCTTTTATTCTTTGGAATGACGAAAATGATTGTGACGTAATATCTTTAAGCCAATCACAGCGCTCTCAGAACCACCACGAAGCAATGGCATGCATTGTTTTGCATTGGTCATATAGATCACGTGATATTGGGTGTAACTCTTTCCTCTTTCCGTCGCGCTTAAGAATTAACGTTAATTAGGTTTTTTAAACTTTCTTATACCAAATACATAACCGCTACTGCGCAGTTATGTATACTGTACATATACATCATGGATAGTTCAAAAGTGTTTTGTGATCCATGGGTACACAGACGCGGTAAGAATAGTAGTAAAGCCCGGTTTAGACAGCGAACTTTTCATGCGCCGAGCTTAATCAAATTTGTAATCATGCCAAATACAAGTAAATTATATCAGAATTTCAGTACTAATTTAAATTACCAATATATCATAATCATATGATTATGTACGTTAAAAAATGTATGCATTAGGTTCGGTGCATGGAAAGCACGGCGTCTATAAATCCATGTTGAACCTGTGTCACATGATTGACATCATTTGCCGTATTTTGTGCCATGTCGAACCTAATCAAAACTTGCGGAACTTAATCGATTTAGACGCTGCTCTTCCGTCGCACTTAATCGTTGTATATTTAGGTTCGGCGCATCAAAAGTTCGCCGCTTAACCGGGTCTAACAACAAAAATGTTGTCCATGAGTCAGAGAAAACCACCAAACAGACAACGGCAAAATGTTATCTATTTTTTAAATAGAATAAAGAAATATACCGTAGCGTATATTCTCGAGGGGAAGCGACGGAGAAGAACCTGGCTTGCGAGATTGAAAAGAAGATAAAACAAAACAGAATACAATACATTACAGTAGAATGAAATGCAACTATATATACCTGAAAAATACAAGGAGAACTTCGACGTTTCGAGCGAAGGCCCTTCGTCATGCAATATTACACGACGCGCTTCAATATTGAAACGCCAATTTTCAAAACTATAATTACTTATTTCGGAGACATGGATTTTTATTTCCTACGGTCGAATATATCAGCAATATCATTGGCAATCACAAATGCATTACGCCCAGTTGTTATATGTCTAATCTTCAATCACATACATGCATGCAAATGCTTATACGCCCAGTTTTTATAAATTATTCGATATAGTTTTATATATTAAAAGTAGAACGTATAAACTATTAACAATTGAAACAACTTAACATAGCCCTATAAGGCTAAGAAGAACTTGCCTTGCATGCCTTTGAATAGAATATTACCTTTGAATTAAGTATAGAATTTGGGGGAACTTACCTTTGAATTTCACCAGAAAAACAGCTTGCAATCTTGACTGTGGACGTTATTTAAATTACTGAATGCAGGAAGACAATTACATATATATTTATGGTATCTCGTGATGTCAACCAATTTCTTATTGGTTAATACGCTTGGACCACCCGCACCTAATATTAGCAATTAACCAATGCATTCCATGCTTTTGTTACGGGATTAGGCTTGCGCGAGGGCCTCGTAAAGTCGGTAATCCAGAACGGAATCTTTGAATACTGAAGCCAACAAAGATTAATGCTACAACGCAATTGTCTCAACAGATTTGACTGTATTCGACACAGAACTGGTAGTTGGAGCTGGGAAGTAGGTGTTCCAAACACTCCCAGACCAAGACTGCTATAAAGGCCCACTCAGGAAAATTTTCCACGGAAAGAAAAATTTGTAAAATGTGATTGGCCGATACAAATTTTCCGTCGGAAAAAAATTTGACGTTGACTTTTAGCAATGATATTTTCAGAAAAAATTCTGTCCGTGGAAAATTTTCTTGAGTGGAAATGGGCCTTTAGACCTCTTACAGCGAGTGAATAGTTAGCTACTTACAAAGGTCACTGTATGCAAATAACACTTCATTTTAGGTACAACTTGAATTATCAAATGTTTGTTGTATCAGCTGCTTGCTAAATTAGCTTTTGTGTAAATTCCGGAACCAAGGTTGACATACAATCATAAATTATTCACAAATACGTGTAGGGTAAACAAATGCAATTTAATTACAGGAAAAAGGCAACAAAAATTATGTTTGCCTAATTTGAATAAATGTTAAGATTATTTAGAAATCCTTTTTGCAAATTCTCCAAAACTATCTTAGTTTTTGAGATATTTGAAAGGGAAATATCCTGCCATCCGCCATCTTGTTTTATAATTAGATCTAATTAAATGACGTCACAACCAGGGTAGAAAGTAGAAACATGAATGAACATGTATTTATTTCATATATTCATACAACTGAAGAGTTACTTTAGTCTTGAAGAACGAGGAATGAACATATCTATTTAAGATGAAGATTCATAATCAGTTATAATGACAATTACGGTGTTAATATTTTGCGTGATACTTAACGACTCGCGAAATTCAATCATATTAAATTATTCACAAATACGTGTAAGGTAAACAAATGCAATTTAATTACAGGAAAATGGCAACAAAAATTATGTTTGCCTAATTTGAATAAATGTTAAGATTATTTAGAAATCCTTTTTGCAAATTCTCCGAAACTATCTTAGTTTTTGAGATATTTGAAAGCGAAATATCCTGCTATCCGCCATCTTGTTTTATAATTAGATCTAATTAAATGACGTCACAACCAGGGTAGAAAGTAGAAACATGAATGAACATGTATTTATTTCATATATTCATACAACTGAAGAGTTACTTTAGTCTTGAAGAACGAGGAATGAACATATCTATTTAAGATGAAGATTCATAATCAGTTATAATGACAATTACGGTGTTAATATTTTGCGTGATACTTAACGACTCGCGAAATTCGTAAGTCGTGATTGACCATATTGAACTATGGATTGACGGGTCGTGTTTTTTATGTGTATATTATATTACTATATTAATAATTTAAGTTATATATCATCCAATTATAGCGATATAAAACTAAGAAATGCCTGACCTGAGGTGGCGCAGGTCAACAAATCTTAAAGATGCAGTACAGTCCGTATGTAAACAAAGGCTTTGTTTACATTTTGGTATCCAAAATATTGAATTTTATTCGGCAACTATTTATATTTTCATGATTTTAGAGTATAATAAATTAAGAAGAGACACCAATCAAGCTTTGCAAGAACATAAAATGAAATAAAAACCTAAACTTTTGTAAATAAAAAGAGGGCTCCTTTGTGCACATGCGCAGATCGGACTGTACCGCATCTTTAAAATAAGATGTTAAAACTAAGCTCAATTCGTAAAGAGTTGTGTCCACTCGTCATTAATTAAATTCAATGCACCTGGTCAAATGGTAAAGCCTCACGAAATTCGTACGACTCGTTAAATTCGTGAAATTTTACGACTCGTGACGAACGTTTCACGAGTGGTGGTGTCTTAAGTCCTATGCAGGTCAAATGGTAAACCTTCACGAAATTCGTACGACTTGTTAAATTCGTGAAATTTTACGAGCCGTGTCGACTCGCGACGAATGTTTCACGAGTGGTGGATGACTTAAGTCCTATGTATGCAGGTGAAATGATAAACACTCAAATTTCTATCGTTATTAAACTTGCATGCGAGAACG